TATATATATAACTAGTTAATTTAATCAATTCAATCAGAGGGCAGTCGATTCAGTAGGGGGAAAAATCATTCCAGCCATTTTTGCCGAATTGATTCTGACTGAATTAACCTAATACAGTTGATCTTGTAGGCTTCTCTTCTCAAATGCCTATCCTTTCCTCTCCCCCAATCTGCCTGCACTCTAACCCTTCATCCTCTCTCTCTTTCCCTTTTGTCCCCTCTCTGGCTCCTCCTTTTTGGATTCCTTTCTTTTCTTCTTCCCTGCAGCATGTTAAGAAGCCTTTTCCGTGGGCACCTCTTCCCACTCACCCTCCTCTCTCCCCTTCTGCCACACACACCACCCTGCCCTATTGGAAGTAAAAATTCTAAAGCTGATTTTTCTTTTTTTGAATTACAGACATTTGAAACTATTACTTTGCTGAAAACGTCTGACTGTCAGTCTAGAATTTGACGCTTAAGGTAATAATTGTGATTTGTTTTTCCACTTTTAGAGACCTCTTCATTCAAAAGGCTCATGGGTTCCCACTTGGTATAAACTTTTGACCATCTCTTGGACTGTTTTCTTCTCAGTATAAAACCTTTGCGAGGATATGTGGGAGCTGCAAGGCAAGCAATTTTCTGAGGAGTAGGGAGGCATTTGGGGGACAGCGTTAATGTTCAGGAGTCCTTTTGTGTGCCCACTTTGAAAACGCTTCCTCTTATCTTTCATTCAGGATGCCAGGGCTAAGGCAAGAGTGTAGGCCACATGCAGGAGATTTTGAATTATGCATTAAGCTGATAATGTCCCAGAATGCAAACTTATGTCAATAAATAACTAGGCTGGCAGGAGGAGGGCAGTCACCTCACCTCTGTGGAGGGTACCACATGGGGAGAGAATTAGAGGAAGACCAGATGAAGGGTAAAAGGGGGCTCACATCCTTTTAGCTTGCTCTGATGAAGAAGCAAGAAGGCTAAGTTAATATTGAAATTATTGTTTTAAAGTGATTTAGCCAAAGTAAGAAGACAATCTCCAGTGTGGGTCCTCTGTGTGCAAGTTTGCATTTGTGGTGGGGTTAGCCCTTCTGTGGAGCCTTATGTGAAGAAATTCTGTCTAGGGGAGAAATTTGTTTGAATCCTTTAATGAGACCCATAAACTCTTTAAAAAGGTGAGGTTTTTTTTGTGATGAAATTTGGCAAAATTCATAATATGACACTAAAGGTTTTGCTTCTTTTTCTGACGAATATGTAGTAGAAAAGCAGTAGAAGTCAAGCAAGTGGAAGAAGCAGAAGGATTAAAAGAATGCTGTAAATCAGGGGTCCCCAACTTTTTTGGCACCAGGGACCAGTTTCATGGAAGACAATTTTTCCATGGACTGGGGCAGGTGGGGAGGATGGTTTTGGGACGATTCAAGCACATTACATTTATTGTGCAGTCAAACTTCTCTGCTAATGATAATCTGTATTTGTAGTCACTCCTCAGCGCTAGCATCACTGCCTCAGCTCCACCTCAGATCATCAGGCATTAGATTCTCATAAGGAGCGTGCAACCTAGATCCCTCACATGCACAGTTTACAATAGGGTTTGCCCTCCTATGAGAATCTAATGCCACCCCCCACTGATCTGACTGGACGGGGAGCTCAGGTGGTGATGGGAACCATGGGGAGTGGCCGTAAATAACGGATGAAGCTTTGGTTGCTCACCCACTGCTCACCTCCTGCTGTGTGGTCCAGTTCGTAACAGACCACAGACTGGTACCCGTCCTGGCCTGGTACCCGTCCGTGACCCCAGGGTTGGGGACCCTAGCCGTAAACTATCTCCCTGGCACATGATACAGCACTACCCAGTATCTTTAATCTTAGCGTTGCTTTTCCTGCTTTAGTAAAATGCATCGATAAATGTGACCATCTTCTATTGTGAGAAATGAATGGTGGGACATGCACCTGAACACACATGCTTGCGGACACAAATGATTTAAAAAAATATTTAGTTATGTCTCCCAAGGAAATGGAAAGTGTCTGGGGCAGGAGTCTAGGAGATGGACAACTGAACTTTGACTGGTTTTCCTTACCAAAAGAAGCAGTAATTATGTGTGCATTTCATCATTTTCCTAGTGATAGACAGCAATTTGTAGCCTCTGGTTCTAAGCTTTTGCTTAGAGTTTCTGCAGCAGTGAATGCATTTGTGAAGCTGGTTCTATGTGCACACATGCATATACACACCAACAAATTAAAAATGGATCTGGGAAAACACACTTCTCCTTGGAGAGTCATATCAAGCAGTGTTTAAATTAAATAATTTGCAGAGTGTGGGGAATAAAGCTTTTGTAGCAGTGTCTGGAGGTTATCTTCCCTTGGGAAATGCCTGCCATTTAGTACAATCTGGTGCATGCCAATGAGACACACATGCACGCATACACACACTAGTAGATAGGTTTTATTTTACATCTAAATTATATTTATTTCTTTAGATTATCTGCCATTTTGTGTTCATGTCGAGGGGGACAAAAGAGGCAAACCTCTTGTGAAGGGTTGAGGTCATTAAGATCCAAACGAAAGCGAGGAAAGATGATTAGTGGGCAGGAATGAGGGAAGGCTGACTGCTGGAGTAAAGCCAGTTACCCCACAGATCCGCAGGGGCGTGTGGCTGTGATCGGGAGGCTGTTCAGGCTCAGTCTCTGATTTTGCTCCCAGCCCATTGACTGACGGTGAAAGAGGAGCCATTGCTGTGATGAGGTAATGTGACTGGCGGAGCCACAAGTAGATGATATTAGCTGATTTCTTGCTACTCGTCTGGCTCAACCAATATCTCATCCGAATTGGATGTTAAGGAGTTTTTCCGGTTAGGGCCTCATGCCATGTCTCTAGTTAACTCATTCCTTTGTAGCTGGATGTATTCTTAGCCTAATCAGCACACCTAGCCACCTGTGGAGGGAACAAAGTTGATCACAGTGGATGGTGAATGAACTGATAGCCGGGAAAGAGAGGCAGAGAGAGAGAGAGAAAGAGAGAGAAGATACCTACCTATGTACAGGGAATTAAAAAAAGTCCTGGTTATAAAGGTTGGGATAAAACTTAAGTGAAAGTAGTTATTTTCCCCAGGCCTAAGATTATCTTCGTATGCTTTAAACTCCCACTTTTATCCCTTACTTAAGAAAATTCTTACAAATTACTAGTAGCTGGTATAGAAGCTATGAGTTAGAGTTGAACCCACATTCTGGCTCCCCATTTCTTTGAAGAAAATCCTGGCGTATATTAGTTTGCTGGGGCTGCCTTAACAAAATACCACAGAGCAGGTGGCTTAAGTGAAAGAGATATATTTTCTCACAGTTTTAGAGGCTGAAAGTCTGAGACAAAGTGTTGGCAGGGTTGGTTTCTTCTGAGGCCCCCTCCTTGCCTTGCAGAAGGCCACCCTCTTGCTATGTGCTCCAATGGTCATTCCTCTTCGTGCACAAATCTCCTTTTCTTCTAAAGACACCAGTCATATTGGATTGGGGCCCGTCCTAAAGATTTCATCTTAATTACCTCTTTAAAAAGACCTCATCTTCAAATAGGGTTACACTCTGAGGTATTGGGGCTTAGGACTTCAACCTATGAATTTTGGGGGCACTCAATTCAGACCATAATAACTAGACTTCCAAAATATTTGGTAGAAGATAATTTTTTTTCATTCATTTTTGCTAGCTTCTTTAGAGATTTATTCCCTCAACCTTCATTCTCTTCTGCATTTTTATTAAAAACTGACAAGGTAATTTATTATAATTATTTTAGATGCTTGTGTTTTATTGTTTTAAGAAATGGGGTTTGGGAAGAGAAATAAAAGCTTATTTGAGAATACAAACATCTTTTTAAAAATTTTAAACAATTTAAATTTGAATTTTTTTAAAATAAAGGAAGCCATCTCTTGTTGCTAGAAAAGTATGGCACACAGTTTTATCTTGGTGATTAAAAGGACAGAATTATTGAGTCAGTATTCTCTGACCCTGGGCAAGTTACTCAGCCACACTTTGCCTTCCATTCCTTCTCTCTATATTGTGGATAATAAAAAGAACTTCTTCAAAGGGGTGCTGGGAGGATTAATTGAGATAATACATGTAAAATGCTTAGCTTGGTGCCTGGCTCACTGTAAGTGTTCGATAAATATTGTTAATCTAATACCCATAATAACCACAGACACTTATAGAACTCTATGTTGTGCACTGGTGCTGGAGAAAATATAATACTCTTCCCGAATTTCACTGGATTATAGACTAATTTCCTGCTTTTAGAAGTGGAGCTAGGAACAAGGTTTTTATTATTATTATTATTATTTTAAGTAGACTTTGATAGAGGCTTGTACTCCAAACACAGCCAGGTTTTAATACTGTCTTCTGTCCTCCCAAAACCCAAAGATCCTTGGTCCAAAAGCAGAGTTAAAGGGACATTGGAGAAGGGTGGCTGAAGTCTTCTGATAGCCATGGGTCCCTAGGAGCCCCAAATTTTCTTCTCTGGAGAATCTCAGCCTGTGCAGCACGTGTGGACGGGCCTGGCACATGTCCTGCAGTCTCACAGAGGGACTAGTCGCCAGGCCTTCTCTTTGTCCACTGGAGACAGTGGCTCTGCCTCCTGGTCTGGGTGGCCCAGACACAGTCAGAGGCCACTGGACATTCAGCACTGCAATGACAGACAGAGGTTACCCACAAGTTCCTTCAAAATGTGTAGTTGAGAGCCAAACACATTCTTTGATGTATGTACTGTGATCACCTTGTACCAGCCAATACTTGAGTCTTAAGACCCTGCTTTAGAAATAGTGTGGTGACCAAGGAAACTGTTTTAAAATGGCATTTCCTTAAGGAGCCTTTGGCTCCATAAAATTCCGTGAAAATCTGCACCAAGAATCAGCCCTCGAATTTTGAGAGAAGTTGGGGAAGTAGAAATACACTTTGAATTGAATACAGAAAGTAAGGTTTTTGAGCTACGTTAAAACAATGATGGTAATGATACTAATGGCTGTATAAAGATACCATGCTAGGCTCTTTGTATTTCTATTTCATTCGGTCCTCTCCATAATCCTATGAGACAGATACATTTGCTCAAGTTTAGGATGAACAAAGAAGTAAAAAGGATTGCCAGGATTCAAAGCCAGGTATGACATTTGGGATATAGTCTATGACAGAGGTTGGTATACTTGATGATAATGAGAATCACCTGGAGGGGTTTAAAAACCCATGTATTTTTTATGCTGTGCATAAAAGTAAATTCTAGAGATATTCAAAATCTAAACTTCAAAAAGTATGAAAATATGAAAGTTTAACATGAGATGATTTTTTTGTAATTGTCAGTTGGGAAAGATGGATGATTCTAAGTAACAAACAAAAAGCCTTCTGTATGTATACATTACATACAAATTTAAAAGCCAAGTAGTGAGTTTTCAGAAAGTAATAAGAAAAAGATAAATCACACAACAGAAAGATGGGTGTAGGATATGAAAGAGCAATTAATAG